GTAACCAGCAACAACTTCCCACACTGGAAATATTGGGAAACTTCATTTTAGAAACCAATAATTAAACTCTCTCTAACTTATGGCTGGATTTATCTTATTTATTACACTGTGAAGGCTTTCTGGATTTTTTTCTTGTCCTGTCTCTAACCCTGATTATTCTTCATGATTCTATACCAGTTCCATATCCATGGAAATGACTCAGGCTGAGTAAAACCAGAGGAATGAAGATCATGTTTAGATAAGGCTGAGTGGTAGGAAGAGGCAGGCATTGTGGGACATCAGAGAGGGTATATACCTCGAGGAGTCCCTTTTAGTTATATGAAGGATGGCATGGCTCCAATGTGACCATATTTGATTTGCTAAGGAAGGCTGAAAAACCAGATTTTTTTGAAGGAATACTATGTTGATCAAACAGTATGGGTCAACTTCATGTTGAGCTTCTCTGAGTTCTCTCTGTTTGTTTGAGAAGTAGCACTACACATTACGTGGAAACTACATGTCTACTTAGTTTTTTTTTTTAATGCAAAAGCCATTTGAATACAATGCTCATTCTGCTTTACTAAAAGAAAATGATTCAAGTTAGTATTCAGCTAAAGGACATCAACTCCAGATTGTCTGCAGACATATGCTTAGGCATGTGCCCTCCTGTAACACAGACTGTAGAAGAGGCCAAGAATAAATGGCTCTCTGTATCTTCACATTAGATTCGAATCTTAGCCTAATGGTTGGAAGGCAAACCTTAGCTTCCCAGCGCTGATAGTGATTATTATCTGTTATTATTTCCATTTGCATCTTCCCCAGGCTGTTGGCATCTAACAAGCAAGATGAAAGGCATCTTATTTCAGGATTCTGCACTCACATCCAAGCTCTGTTAGCTCTCTATTCCATTTCCCCTCCATTTTTCTAGCCAGTCCTGTAAACCTCCAGTCTCCTCATCTAGTTTGCTTTTGCAGCCTTCATCAAAAGCTGCTTCTTTATACTCCCAGAATGCCAGGGAGGCAAAACATGTGCCTTATATACTAGAAAAGCTTAACACATGAAGTGGGCTAAGAATGATCACCATATTAGCTCCCCTTTTTGCTTATGTAGGCTTTCTCTCTACCTCCACCCCTAGACCCATTAGACTCCACACCTCTGTTATATCCTTAAGCCAAAAGATGCTAGTGTTCTCTGTAGCAGGATATAACAAAACAGTGTGATTTGAACTGAAAGATAGCCATACTTCTGTTTCTGGGTTAATTGATGGCTTATATGTCAGTGTGATTTGTAAATATTGAAAAGATACCTGTTTGAGTATTATTTAAAAGTGTAAATGCATATAAAGAGGCAGCCAGATAGCAATAAAGATGAAGGTGGGACACTGAGCAGGAGGAAGAGTTGGGCACCGTGGGACATCAGAGAAGTTGTACCCCTTGAGGTGTTCCTTTTAGCTATATGAAGGATGGCTCCAGTGTGTCCATATTTGATTTGCCAAGGAAAGCTGAAAAACCAGATTTTGTTAAAATATGAAAGTACATGTTGGTAGTTCCAGTTTTTGAAGGAATACTATGTTGGTTGAACAGTATGGGTCAACTGCATGTTGGACTTTACTGGGTTTTCTCTGTTCATAGAGGAGCAACAGCAACACACATTAAATGGAAACTACATCTCTACTTACTTTTTTTAATGCAAAAGCCCTTTGACCTTGAGCTTGTGAATGTGCCTTCCTTGGACTTCAGCTTATTGTCTATATGAAAAGGGTATGAGGGACTGGAGAGATGACTGGTCTTCTAGAAGACCAGGGTTCAATTCTCAGCTCATAACTATCTGCAACTCAGTGCAAAAGATGGCCTGGATTGGATTGACCTTCCTTCATGAGGAGGATCCTTGTTTCTTATATCCAGCTGGTAAATGGCAGTGAAGCACTTAAGAATGAACACATTTGCCCTTATTACATATTTGATCCTAGTCAAAATGTCATGAGGCAATTAAATGCTCACTTACTAGGAGCCACTCTTGTCTTCCAACCATTAGGGTTAAACTCATACAAGTAATGAAAATCTTTGATCCCATAAACTTCCCGAGTTATAAATAAGAAGGAGTTGTTCACAGGACACCAACAAATTAATTTTGCATGATCCTTGCTGAGATCAGGTTGCTTTGGGGGGGGGGGGTTGGCTAGTATTTGTGTTCAATAGTGTGTTCTTGACCCAGTACTTTGCTTCAGCAAACAATACATAAGTTACATGATTAAAAAAAAAAACAAAAAAACTTAGACTCTAGAAAGAACAGCAACACAAGGTATAATTGCATATGTTAATTGCATGAAATATAACATAGATTAAGAACATTGTCCCTGCTACAGTTGGTGATACTTGCATTGCTTCAGAATTGATCTATACAACCACCTCAAAGTTCAGGTCATTAGACTGCTGGCAGGAAACATAAAGCCTTCCAATCATAGAAAGCCCAAATTCCCTTGTATAGAAGTATTCTTCTGAAATCTGACTGTCTGGAAGGTAATACCAAGGAGCCAAGACCTCTCATTTGAGAAAAAGCAATTGATCTTATTCTCTAAAGAGAATATAAGGCCCTCATCCTACACCAGCACCTTTCTTGCAAACCACACATTTCTATGCCTTACCTAACTACTAAGTCATTTCATCATTTAAAAGCAACTACAGGGGCTAAGGAGATGGTTTGGTTGGTAACGTGCACACTGTGCAAGTATGAGGACTTGAGTCCAGTCCCCAGAATCCATGAAAACAGGCAGGTATGATCATATTCATTTGTAACCCCAGTGCCTGGAAGTATAAGACAGGAAGATCCCTGAAGCTCACCAGATAGACAGCCTGGCAGAATTAGTGATCTCCATCTCCCAGTGACAGACCTGTCTCAAAAAACAATGTCTGAGGAGCAATACTCAAGTTTGACCCTGGCTTCCACCATGTGCACATGCACTCCCTTGCATATGTGTAACCACACTCAAAGTCAAATCAGCTCCATGTCTCTCATTCACTTAGAATAAGCAGCATGTGCCTTGTTGGGGCAAGTGGAATCCTCATGAACTTTCACCCCTCTTGCTCTCTAATCCACTCATGGCTTGGCATGACTTGTACTTTCAGTGCCAGCTTTGCAGGCTGTGTCTGGTTCTCAAACATTTAGACCTTTTTCCTGATTCAGGACTTTTGTTCTTGACATTTCTACCCTCCAGAGATCCCTTTTTCCATACCATCTCATCCCCATCTCCTTGTCTCCAGTGCTCTCTGCATCTTTAAGGTTGTCCTCTTGGACCATTACAAATTGACACACCCATTTTCCAGTTGCATTTTATCCTCACAAGTTGTTTTACTTCTACATAGGATTTGTTCAAGGTCTAGAAATTTATTTTTAATTCAATTGTATATTGGTATATAATTGTTCTTTCCCAATGAAAAAGACACTACACTGGAGGGGAAAACTTATATCCCTCCAAGTCAGTCAGAGTCCTAATACTTAACCACTGGATGGGTTGTGTGGGTGTTCTGGGTCTTAACTTTACCACCAGTCAAACAGAGATATCAAAAGAAGGACAGTATCTCCCATGGAGCAAGGTGGTGAGAAATAAGTAGAGTCATCAAGGAAGGCCTTATCCTTTGACCTCGTATCTCATCCCCTTTCCAAAGTTGAAACTAAATGACCAGGGTTCATTTTTCATTATTGCTTGACTAATGTTTCATTATTTAATATAGCCTAAAATACATGATAATGCTTATTGTAGAAACATGTGATACATAATATATATAGTTCATTTTTTCTTCATGTGAGCTCTTATCTCTTTAAATAGTCACTGCATTTTAATCTAAATTATACTATATTATTTTCAGGTTTATATCTTATTATTTGTGACTCTCACATCTTAATGCAGTTTTCAGAATTCATTTCTGAATTTGGCAACCTTACGCTTCACTGCACCATTCTTCATTTAACCTTTGCCTTTGAGTTTTCTGGAATGACTAGCACTACCTTGAATCTCTTTATGCACAAGCGTGTTATGACACCTCTTTTTTATTTTCTTGGAGCTGAGACACAGTGACTAGGATTCATCTCTTCACAGAGGCCCTCTATGTTAGTGGCTCCATTCACTTCACACTGTGGGGAAAATTCTAAACATTTTAAAGACATTTCTTTGGCCAAGGAGAGAACGTTCAGATACACAAAACTATGAAAAGCAGCCACAGTCAGTGTGAACTTAGGTAGGAGCTAAATGATGTGTATACTGGCAAGGAGCTGGAGAGGTTTGGAAAATAAAATCTTTGAAGATAGCAATAGCTAGAATATTGCTTGAAGCTGATAATTAGACTGGCCATGGCCTGGAAGATGCCTTAGAGGAGAAGAGAAGATATTGGAGGATAGAAGAGTTACAAGAGTGAAGGTGGGGAGGCAGGATCAAGCCAACAGAGAGCAGTCTGGTCTGCAGCCCAGAGCCCTATGCAGAGGAGGTGAGACAACTTGGATGGAGCCAGGAGTGACAAAGCTGGAGTCATGTGCTGGGCACTTAGATGGAGGCTAAGTATTATTACCATCATTCCAAGCACATGGGGGGCTGCTCTGAACAACAATATGAGCCATTTGTACAAAAGACCGAAATGGAATCCAAATAACAGGTCACACTGCTCCAGGTCTCTCCCTCCCCCTGCAGTTAACATTTTACTACCCGGTTGAGCAACTAATGAATCTGGCTGCTGTAAATCCCCAGGCACAAATCTCTGCTTGGGGTCTGTGTCTAGACATCCAGAACAGAGCCCAATTTGCACTTTGAATATCTAGTACCTTATCAGGTATGGGAAATCAGCTTTAATGGGGAATATGGGTTAGTGTCACTTTACAGGTCCTACCTTTGGCACCTGAGGGTAGACTGAGGGTCCCCTGGATAGCCCCTGGATAATGACTGTTAGGGGACAGCAAGTTCCATAAGGTGTTCGTTATGAGACTCTGCTATTCACAAGCATTGACTGGGGGGCCTCTCTGTCTCATTGCAGGCTGTGCTTTGTGAAGCTCAAGCTCCTGATGATAGCCATTGAGTACAAGTCTGCCAACCGGGAGAGCCGGTAAGTTGACGTTCATGTTGGAAGTGTGCATCCTGGGAAGGGTCTGTCTACTTCCTCTTTCTTGCTTTGTGATTTATTTGCTTGGAACCTAATGCAACACACACGCACATGCACACGCACACGCACACGCCACGCACACGCACACGCACACGCACACGCGCACACACACACGCACACACACACACACACACACACACACACACACACACCAAATTCTGCAATATATTTCAAGACACTGAAGTTTCTAACCGGGACCAACCTGTCATGCCATGCCCCACTGGGCACCCAGAGGTTTCCCTGGAGGACAGGAGAGAGCAATTCCCAGGAGCTCCACCCACTATACTATAGCCTCTATACAAGAAAGCATTAACAGACCCTCTCTTCAAGTCCCTTTTACTGCTGTAAGCAAAAAGCAGGTGGCCTCAGGCCTTCTTTACAGCAGCCTGTGGTAGAGCAGTGATGGGAGGTGCCAACTCTCTCAATAGCCAATTTTCAAGCAGCCTATTGTGTACCATATGCGTTTCTCCCACTGCAGCCCATATCCAGGTGGCAGAATATCAGCTTCATGTAAATTAGCCAGGAGAGAAGAGCTCTGAGGCAGGAGCTCTCATTATTTATTTATTTTTCACTTAATGATGTGCAAATCAGACCAATGAGGGACAGGGTCTGGCTGAAACAGATAACACCCCAGTCGATACATGACCTTATTGCTGGTTGATGGCAGCAGCATTGTATGAACAGGAATCTGGTGGAGGGGGCTGTCCTATGTGCCTTATTGATGACACAGATGATCTTTGATCCTCAATTCTTAGTCATAGTTTTAGAAGAAAGATAACTGGTTAAAAGATAGCCTGGCTTCTGTTCTCTGAAATGATGGATCCAGATGCTGTTCCTGCTCTAGTGAGGCTTTTGCTCACACATGTTCACAAGGGCAGAGGGGCGCCCACCCCCAACACACACCTTCACAACTGAACAGAATGAAGGGCACTACCTACAAAGTTCTACTAATGTCATTCAAGGAGTTTTCACTATCTTCGTAAGTGACCGCCCTCACACACACATGCACAAATGCCTATTTCCAAGTATGTGCCTGTGACAAAAACAAATAAACATTGGATCACAAGCAAGTGGACTCTCTGTTGTCCCTCCCCTTAACTGGCAGATCAGATGGTCCACAGTTAATCTGATCTAATGCTGAGTTACTTTGAAAATCCAAACCAACCAGGCAACAGAAAAGAAAATGGCAGATTTGGTGGCCATTTTAGAATACAGCAGTAGCAATTTAAAAACTATACATGGAAGGATAAATTTTTCTTTTCCATGTTGGCAAAGGAAAGACTATTAAAAGTATCCTTTGAGCCTAAGAAAGCCCTGATTTGTCTTTCAACAGTGGAATTTTCTAGGATCTCTGTTTGCTCCAGCCTTACCTGGATCCATGTGTGTGGAGGAAGGACTATGGGTCCCTGTGGGTTTTTTTTTTTCCCTGTGGGTGGGGGCCAGGTTGTGAATGGTGATCTTTGTGATGCAAAGTCAACACACCTTTATGGGTCTAAGTGTTCTCTCTTTATCACTTGTGTCTATCTCTTTCAAAACATAAATAAAAGAAAGAAAGAAAAGTGTCACCCTGTAGGTGGTGCTGATGCTGAAGAGTGTTTTCTGACCCTTCTGGTATGATCTCATGGCTGGAGAGGACTGCACCAGTCCATGAGAATCAGCCACTCAGCTCCCACTAATCGCTCTTTGGCCACAGGGAAAGAGAGGGTGCCGCTAGAGTCCGGGCACCATTCTAAGGAAACAGATTCCAGGTCCTATGAATACACACTCTTCCCTTTGATAGGCCCTCTCGTTGATTCATAAACCTGAGCTGTTTTCAACAAAGCCATGTCTAGAGATATAGGTTGAGGATTTTGTTTCTCCTCCTAGAGCCCCCAGAAAAGGCAATAAAAGGACCTTGTCTGGCTTTGTATTGGCTTTCTGTGTGCAGTTGCCAGCATTAATCCTCAGTGTGGCTTGGTCTCAGTGTGGAAGCACATGAGTGCTTGTGGAAAAAGGTGTGCTGGAGGGAATGTGGATCATACCCCCAAGAAAACACAGGACTGCCCAACTAAACTAAGTCCAAAAACCACACTTTTTAAAAAATATCCTTGTGAGAGACCTAATCCTCATCCTCTAGCTATTGCAATGGACCAGGTATGGAAATCTAGAGAAGCTGCTTCTCTTTCCCACCTTTCCACCTCTGACCTGTGTTTGAGGATGTTCTCTGTTGTTGGTACCACCCATGATACTGTTCTCATGCTTTGCTGATAAACCTTGTTTTCACACGCATCCTTCAAATGATTTGAAACAAAGGTTTTATTCCTTCCTTCCTCCCGGTGTCAGTCAATTTATTATCAAATTGTTTGATTTGAAATTCTTTTCTTGTCGTTTTTGCAGAAGCCGAAAGCGGTATGCATTCTTCGTTAACTTTCCTTCCAACCTCCACCCTCTGTCTTCACTCCTAACCACAGGA